TATTCATTTCTCAAACCCAGTCGGTGGTTTGGGGCTTATTAGAATAATTTGATGAATCATTTGCCCTTCACATTTTAACCGGGTAGGCAGTTTCTTAATATATACTTGATGTATACAGAACATATGAGCGAACATTGTAGTTTTGCCTTATCTATTAATTTGTATGACCTTTCCAGTGCGTACTTGAAGATCATCCTACCTCCACCTGTCCCGAGCCGCCTCATTCGGGCTCTTACCCTTGCCCTTGGCATTTCCAATACCCACGCCCCCTCAACTCTGTCTTTTACATCCCACTCTCTGGCTACCACGTGTCACCCTTGCAGCTCACTCCCATGCACTCCCATTTCAATAATGCTTTGACCCCACCCCTGCCTTTGCACTGCCTCACTTGCCCTTCAGGTCCTCATTTCCCTGTTTACCCAGCTTGGACTCCATGATCCATCCTCATAATCCCTCCCTTTCCACCCTCTCCCTGTTGCACTCACCTCACAAACCTCCTCCTGGTTAGAGGCGACTCTCCAACTAACTGCACCCACGCCCCGAATGTGGCCGGAGAAAGCCACAGAATCTCAGAAGAGACCTTCATGCCACTGACACACACACTTCACAGCCTGGTCCACTCCCTCCCACTCTCGCTTCCCTTCCTCTGTCCTCCCATCCCCAACCCTTCCTCCCCATCCTCTCAGTTAATGCTCCTACTTCCCATTTCGTCGGGAAAATAGAAGGAAGCAGAAGTGAAGTGTTATACCCTCCCACCATGTCTGCCCATCCCCAGCACTGCACCCACGAGCTCTGCTGTCCCTCCTGGCACAGCACCACCCATCCTTGCACTGTGTCCTGGGCCTCATCTCCTTGCACAGTGCATCTGTATTGCGTCCCCATCTCTGCAGGTTATCCCTTCTGTCCTCCTTTCTTTTACTTTTTTATTTTGATTTTATTTTCGAGACAGAGTCTTGCTCTGTCACCAGACTGGAGTGCAGTGGTGCTATCCTAGCTCACTGCAGCTTCAAACACCTGAGTTGAAGGGATCCTCCTGCCTCAGCCTCCCAAGTAAGCTAGGACCACAGACACATACCACCACACTTGGCTAATTAGTTTTTATTTTTTGTAGATATAGGGTCTTGCTATGTTGCCCACGCTGGTTTTGAACTCCTGGGTTCAAGGGATCCTCCTGTCTCAGCTTCCCAAAGCTAAAGCCTGAGCCACTGCCCCCAGTCCTTCCCTTCTTCCCTCTCTACTAGAACATTCCCACTAGTAGCATACAGGCCTTAATATCTCCCTCCAACACAAAGCAGCCAGCACTAGCCAGCTAATGGAGGACACCCCAGTAGCACAGTGCAGGGAGACACAGGGAGGTTAGGAGAAAGAGGCAACAAAGGACATGGTGGGCGCTCAGGCAGCAGGACCAGCATGCATGTGCCAAGGTCCTGAGGTAGGAGGGAGCGTGGCGGGAAAGAAGGCAGAGATGAGCAAGGAGGGAGGAGGCAGGTGGGAGGTGAGGCCAGAGGTGGAGGTTGAGGGTCAGGCTTTGTTAGAGATGTTGAGCTTTTCCCCGAGAGCACTGGGAAGCTGGAGTGTTTCCGAGCTGGAGGTGGCATGATCAGATTTGCATGTACAAAGGATCACTGTCATAGCTCTGTAGAGAAGGATAAGAGTGGGTGCAAACTGATGAGTGGGGAGGCCACGGCAGCCATGCAGGGAGCAGGGATGGTGGCCTGGTGGTGGGCGGCGCTGTCTCAGAGGCATCAGGCAAGTTTGAGACACTAAGGATCTAACACAGACAGGACACCCTGATGGATGGAGCCTGCAGGGAGGAGGAAGAGATAGATGTCGGCGCTGACAACTAGGCTCAGGCTTACACCAGGAAGTCCTGGAGAAGCATTTGCCGAGCTAACTGGGGCCTCCAGAGCACCAGGCAGGAGGGAAAGATCAGGAGTTCACGTTCAGTGCCTTTAAAACATCCACCAAGAGACATCAAATAGGCAGTTGGATACCCAGGTCTAGGCCTCGAGGAGAGGTCTGGGCCACTGATTATCTCACACGGCCTCTCTGTTAGCATCTCCTGAACCCTCCTTCTGTGCCAGGCACTGTGCTAGGAGCCGATGGTCCAAGGATGAGTGAGGCCCAGGCTTGCACCAGAGGAGCCACCAGGCTCCCCGTAGAATGTGAGCTCCTGTTCCTGTGGGGTCTTACCCTTGCCCTTGGCATTTCCAATACCCGCACCCCCTCAACTCTATCTTTTACATTCCACTCTCTGGCTACCACGTGCCACCCTTGCAGCTCACTCCCATGCACCCCCATTTCAATAATGCTTTGACCCCACCCCAACCCTAGGCTCAAAAGCATTGACTGCCCTCCCTGCTCCACCCCGCACCCCTGCCTTTGCACTGCCTCACTTGCCCTTCAGGTCCTCATTTCCCTGTTTACCCAGCTTGGACTCCATGATCCATCCTCATAATCCCTCCCTTTCCACCCTTCTGTTCCTGTGGGGAACAGGAGTGGGTGTGGCCCACCAGGATGCAGCTGGGGCCCTTCTGGGTTAAGCTCTGTCCTCAATTTGTGGAACGCCTCGGGGCATGTCAGTACTGCTCTCTGAGCCTCACTCCTGCACAGATTCTTTATAAAGATGCCTGGCACCGGCTTGCTGAAATATTTGTCAGATTGAATTGAAAGGATATGAAAGTGCTTCGCAAAGTGCTTTTCAAATACACTGATTCGTAATTGTAACAATAGGGAGAATTTGTTATCCTCTTAGCAGCTGGTATGAAGACTTTTCCCACAGAGAAGGGTGAGTGGTTGGATTAGGGAAACAAGGTACTACGGAGGGGACAAGGCTTCCTTTTAACACCCCAAGATGCAGGAGGGCAGAGAGGCCATGACAGGAGAGGGGTGGGAACAGCAAAAAGCACGGAACCCAAAACACTCAGAGAAGACACCTGCCCATGGGACCATTTTGAGTGGCCCTACCAAGCTTCAGTGAAGCGACCGAAAGTCCCGATATGCTCTGGGGAATTGTTTCTCTTGTAGAAAAAGTTGGTGAATTTGGTACAGGGAGAGCTCATGTGTGAAAGGAAGTTACAGAGGTTCCTCTTTTCCATTATATGCAGCATAGCCAGAAGTTCCTAAAATGCTTATATTTCTATGTAGTAATAAGTATCCCTGTATACTATATACCTGCGTACTATTAGGTTGGTGCAAAGTAATTACGGTTTCACTATTACTTGGATGGCAAAAACCACAATTGCTTTTGCACCAAACTAATATATAATTCTATATTTTGTACATACATATAGGTCTAGGCTGGGCACAGTGGCTCATGCCTGTAATCCCAGCACTTTTGGGGGCCACGGTAGGCAGATCTCTTGAGGTCAGGAGTGGGGGACCAGCCTGGCCAATATGGTGAAATCCCATCTCTACTAAAATACAAAAATTAGCCAGTTATGATGGTGTGTGCCTGTAACCCCGGCTACTTGGGAGGCTGAGGCAGGAGAATCGCTTGAACTCGGGAGGCGGAGGTTGCAGTGAGCCGAGATCGTGCCATTGCACTTAAGCCTGGGTGACAGAGTGAGACTCCATTTCAGAAAAAAAAAAAAAAAAAAAAGGTATATGTAATACCATAAAATTCCTGAGTAATATCTATAGTACACACTGGAATCTGCCCCTACTTTATAAGACATAGTCTCAGGACTGTAGAAGGAAATCATTGCCAACATGTATTGAGGGCTCTATTAATTAGGTCACACTAGCTACTAAGTCAGTGGCTGGACATAGTCAAATTTCATTTCTCTCTCACGTCAATGCCCCCAAGGACTTCCTAAATGTGTCAGGCACTGTTCTGACTACTCAACATGCATCAGCTCAGTGAACCTCCACGACAATCTGCCAGGGAAGAATTCTTGTTATTGCCACTCTCAGGTAAGGACACTAAGTGACACACAGCTGGACCCAGGCAGTCTGGCTGTGCAACCTGCGTCTTACCCACTGTGCATACACCCCACCCAATTCTTCTTCCATTCAGAGAAGGTTAAAGGACGTTCGCTGTGCCTATGCTGGTGCTGGGGATAAGATGGTGAATGAAACAGTCTCTGCCGTTAGGAAGCCGATGCTCTGGTGATTGTACGGTCTATGCTACTTACCAGTTTTTAGAAAGGCTGCATTCAAGAGTTCACTCACTCATCAGTGAACATAGGGGAGGACCTGCCTGTGACACTGTGCTGGGATTTGCCCCGGGCCGGTTCTCACCTTCCCAGCAGGCACCAAGGAAATGTTTAGAGTCAAAAGACCCTAGTTGGAGCCCTGATTCCATCATTTCCTAGCCACAAGTACTTACTCAGATAGTTTTGCCTCTCTGAGCTTCAGTGTCCTCATCTGTACAATGGGGATGATAAGACCCCTCTCACAGGCCTGTGGTGGAACCAAATTGAGTTGTAGTTCAAGAACTTGGCCAAGGGTACAGCCCCCAGGGGGCTCAATCTCTTCCCCACCCCCATATTTATTTCAGAGCGGTTGGCGGCTGGGTTTGGTGAATTTCGCGCAATTGCAGATGGGAAAGTGTTTTGCAGGCTCTTCTAAAGGGCTGTGGCAGCATCTGGCAGCACCAGTGTGGGGTGTGTCCCTGTTAGAAAGTGATCTGCTGCTTTCTCACATGTAAAATGCAGGGTGACTCCCAGCCAAGCTGGGGCACAGAGACGGGCTGAGGAGTGTTCATCAACCTCCTCCGTGGCAGTCCCCAGCCCGGAATCAAGCCTCCACCACTGCCAAGCCTCCGCTAATCCTCAGAAGCTTCGGTGCAGGGACAGAAGGCAGCGTTTTGAAGTCGTCGGCTTTAGATCCTCTCCGCAGTACTGCGGGTGTGTATTGTGATTCACCAGGCAGATGTCCAAACAGACAAAATGAAACCTTCCTTCAGGGGTGAGAGAGACGGCTGAGTGAGTTTCCAAAGAGCCAGAAGTCTAGAAGAGGCAGGTGGGCCCTAAGCACCCCCAAAACTATGATGTTTCATGCCCTCCTTCTCCCCTTGTTTTGCAGGGAATTTCAAAGGTCTGTGCAAGCAAATCGATCACTTCCCAGAGGATGCAGATTACGAAGCTGACACAGCAGAATATTTCCTCCGTGAGTGCACACAATTGTTTCTATCTCCCTCCTGGTGGTGGGCCCTGCCCTTCCATCCTTCACAGAGTCAAGGACCAGGCCTATCTAGAGGCCCTCATCACAGCAGAGGGCAGGCAAAAGCTGAATCTCTCTCCTTTCCGGAGTGCAGATCTTCATACATGCTGTTCCCTCTGCCTGCAACGCCCTTCCCTCCCCGTCTTTGTCTGGCAAACTCCTACTCAGTCGACCTCAGCTAAAACATCACCTTCTCCAGGAAGTCCTTCCTGCCTTCTGCATGAGTTCCCAGAGGACAGTACTTTATCATTGCTATGGGGTCCTTGACTATTTGAGTAACCATCTCCCAACTCTGCTAGCGTATGGACTCACCCTAGCATTCACCATTATATTCTCGGCCCAGTGCTTGGCATGTAATAAGCACTCAGTGAATATTTCTTGAATAATTGGATGAAGGAACCCACCAGGCAGTGCCAGATTGGAACTTCTAATAAAAAAAAAAAAAAAAAAAAAAGAGAGAGAGAGAGAGAGAGGGATTTTTTCTTCCCCCCGCAAGTCAAGTAAGTCAAAGTTAAATCCTGATGTAACAGCTGCAATCTTAAATCCACCTGAGACATATTATCAAGAGAAAGCAGTCTGAGGCCCCAAGGAAATGTCTCAAGTATCAGCAAAAACTAACAAGGCTACCTATTCCCTGAGAAAGGGATTTCCAAGAGAGGGGCTGAGAGTCCTTGATGCCTGGGACAGCAAAGCCAAAGGTTCTCAGGCCATCTCTTTGGAAGGAGGTTTGCTCTCCTCCCAGGAGCATCCCCGCCTCTGCTCCAGACCCTTCCACCTCCCCTCCCCAACAGCACAACGGTTGCCATTATCCTCAGATCACTTTTATGAAGTATGTAGGAGGCATTTTATTATATAGATTGCCCCTGTCTCTTTCAATAATTACTTCTCACATCAAGCCCAGCTCTCAGGTCAGCCTGGAATCTGGTTTCATTGAAAAGCCCGTGGAATGTGAAGTCAGTCAGGCAGCTGGGAAGAGAGAGGGAGGCAACACGATGCAATTTTTAGATTCTTTTTTTTAAAGGAAAAAATATCATACCCTGCTCGTCATTTCCTTTTATGAATTCCCTCAAGACGTTGCTCTTAACTGGAATTCCTAACAGGCCATTTGGTTGTGGTTACCTGTTACCTACGACTGTGTCTGGGGTGGGGCTGCAGGAGCCCGGCTGTGCAGTAAATGTGGGTTGAGCTCCTTCTGTGTGCTGGATCCTGTGCTCAGTGCTGGGGAGGCCAAGATGGATGAGGGAGACGCAGTCCCTGGCCCCAAGAAGAGCACAGCCTGGTGGGGAGGGCCCTTGGAAAAACAGCTCAACTTGGGAGACACTGCATGATAGAGGTGAGGCCTGAATGTAGAAGGCAGAAGCCAGCAAGCAAAGCCAAGCCTCACACTGGGAGCCACACTCCCGGAGCACAGGGCTCACCAGGTGGAGTCTGAATTATGTCATGCTGTATCTGCTAGGCAGTAAGCGCCTGGGGGCAGGAAACTTGTCTCATTCATTGCTGCCCTTATAACGGCTCAATGAATGCTTTCTGTTAAGAAGAGATAGAGGATTCTTCAGTGGCAATTCCTAACAATTCAACACCTCCATTTCCTTGTTTTTAAGAAAGAAGAGCATAGAGCATAGAGTATTTGGTTCATTTTGATGTCCCTGGACAAAGGACTTGGACTCAGATTGGCAACACAGGATTCTGAAGGTCTGATTTGAGTTGACTTAATTCAACAATATTTTTTGAACATCTGTAACAGGGGTCGGCAAACTTTTTCTATGAAGGATCAGACGTTGAATATTTTAGGCTTTTGGGACCATACAGTCTCTATCCCATTTACCCAGCTCTGCTCTTGTGGCCACTGACAATAAGGAGGCATATGTGTGGCTGTGTTACACTGAAGCTTAACTTGATTTACACAACCAGGCAGCAGTCTTCATTTGGTATAGTTTGCTGACCCCTGGTCTATAAAATGCTAGTCCTGGGCTGGACAACAAAAATCATTTTTTAAAGCTGGAAGACATGAGTTTCTATCATTCTCTACGAAGTTCTAACCTAGATCTTGAGAGAAGCTGGGAGACAGGGATGATTTTTCTAGAAGGATTCCCCCTGCCCCCACTCCCTACCCCTGCTTCTGATTCAGAGCTCCTCTGGGGCCTCCCTGGCACGCTGCATATGTCTACAATTCAACCCTGACCACACTTTGCTGCAATTTCGCTGGTTCACACTTGATATCCCCAAGAGGCTATGAGCTTCCTGAAGGCAGAGCTATATCCCATTCATTTCTGCACCCCAAGCACCCAGAAAAGGCAATGGCAGGGAATTTGACCCAAAAAAACACTTTGATGACTCAGCAATGAAGTGACTGGGCGGGTGAATATGTGAACACTCAAGTAAATCACAGTCTAATGCCCCGAGATCAATGCAAGCAACAGGCTTCCAGAAGAAAACAGCTGGGTTCCCATTCGCCAGAGGTAGGCGGGTGGCTCCCAGAGGTGTGCAGAGCTTAGGCCCAAGGAGGCGGGCTGAGCTGCACCTGGGGTGGGCAGGGCCTGAGTCCACTCCTAGTTAAGGTCTGTCAAACCCATCTGCACAGCTCATCTGCCGCAGGGGAGGCTGTGAGGGGGCAGAAGCAGCCCCTCTCCCTGAGGGCTAGCCATCTGGAGGGAGACCTATGGACCTAATGTTTATGCTGCATGCTGGAATAGAAGGAAGCGTGTGGTGCTGAGGGAACCTGTTCCCTAACCCAGACCAGAGAAGGTCCTTCCAGAAGGGTTCCCTACAGAAGATGGCACCAGAGCCCATTCATTCATTCATTCATTCACTTGAGAGATATTTACTAAGCACTCACTGAGTGCCAACACTATTGTCAGTCCTGGGGATCCAAGAGTAAATCAAACAAAGAGGGCCAGTGCCTTCATGAAGGGTATATCCTAGTGTAAGAAACAAGTAATAAACAAGTGTGAAACACCCTCTCCCTGCCCTCCGCACCCTGAGATAGTTTTGTTGTTGTTGTTGTTGAGATGGAGTCTCTTGCTCTTTCATCCAGGTAGGAGTGCAAGTGACACCAAACCTCTGCTTTCCGGGTTCAAGTGATTCTCCTGCCTCAGCCTCCCGAGTAGCTGGGATTACATGCGTGTGCCACCATGCCTGGCTAATTTTTTGTATTTTTAGTAAAGATGGTGTTTCACCAAGTAAGCCAGGCTGGTCTTAAACTCCTGACCTCAGGTGATCCGCCTGCCTCGGCCTCCCAAAGTGTTGGGATTACAGGTGTGAGCCACCATGCCCAGCCCCAGCTGAGATAGTTTCTGAGTGGTCTGGGAGGAGTTGGAGAGTGGAGAGTGATGGGGGAGGGACCAGTGGGTCCTGGGGGCATGTCACTTAGATAAGGTGGTCCCACAGTTTCTCTGAGTGAAGAAAGGGAACCAGGTAAGATTTCTAGGGAAAAGAGTAGCTGACAGAGAGAACAGCAAGAGTGGAGTCCTTAAAGCAGACACAAAGCATCATGTTTGAGGATCAGCGGTGTGGCTGGCCCTGCAGGAGCCCAGTGCAGGGGTAGAGTGGGGTCCTACAGCAGAGACAGCACAGGAACCCAGTCACGTGGGCCTGGGACCAAGGGGAGACCTCAGTTCTCATTCTAAGTGTGATGGCAGTGACCAATTTAGACACATCAGCCTGGCTGCTGTGGTAGTGATGGTTGGAAACGGAGGCAGGGAGCCCAGGTGGCGGGGTTGGCGGGTGGGGGGAAACCAGAGTGTAACCATGGTGATGGTGAGAAGGAAGGAGATGTTTGGGAGACAGAGCTGACAGCAGCAGAGGTGGCCACTGATGGAGCATGGGCCATGAGGCAGGGGACAGATTTCAGGATAGGGACAGAAGTGAAAGGAGAGGGAAGAAGCAGTGAAGCAACTCTTCTTTCTCCCCAAAGAGCACATTTCAACCCATGTAGAGCATCTCCTAAGGGACCTGGGGCTTGTTTTCGATGTTCCCAAACAGCTCAATTAATTCTTTTTTTGTTTTGTTTTGTTTCGTTTTGTTTTAAGATGGAGTCTTGCTCTGTCACCCAGGCTGGAGTGCAGTGGCGCAATCTTGGCTCACTGAAACCTCTGCCTCCTGGGTTCAAGCGATTCTCCTGCTTCAGCCTCCTGAGTAGCTAGGATTACAGGTGCCCGCCACCACATCTGGCTAATTTTTGTATTTTTAGTAGAGACGGGATTTCGCCATGTTGGCCAGGTTGGTCTCGAACTCCTGACCTCAGGTGATCCACCCACCTCAGCCTCCCGAAGTGCTGAGATTACAGGCGCCAACAAGAGCGAAACTCCGCTTCAAAAAATAAAAATAAAAAGAAGAACAAACAGTAAGTGCAAAGGTCCTGGCTTGGGAGCATGCCTGGAATATCTGAGGAACAGGACTGAGCCTCGTAAGAGAAGAATGGAGTGAGCAAGGAAGGGCAAAGGAAGAGCAAGTGTGGAGAGTTCCAAGGACCCTATGGTTTGCAGCGAGAATTTGGGGGTTTGCTCTGGTTGACCGACACCATCTCACTTTTGAACAGGCTCCGGCTGCTGTGTTCATAAGGGACTGAAATGGGATGAGGGCAGAAGCTGACAGAAGAGTTAGAACTCTGTTGCTATAATTTAGGCAGGAGGTGATGGCAGCTTGAACCAGAGTGGTAGCAGTGAAAGGGGTGAAATAGGATCAATGTTGAAAATATTTCCAGGGCACTACACACAGGATTTTCTGAAAGACTGAATGTGGATTTCGAGAGAAAGGAAGGAGGCAAGGATGGTGCCAAGACTCGTGCCCATGGGGGAGCAACAGGTTGAGACTGGGGCTCAATATCAGCCATACTCAGTTAGAGATGCCTGTGGGACTTCCTGGGGCAATGTCACGGGCTCGGTATGAACCTGAGTCCAGTGTTCACAGGAGAGGTCCCGGCCAGAGATAGTGAGTTTTCGCGTTGT